GTCCACCAAATATCAGCCAAATCGGACGAGGTCGTAGGCACGAGCTGTCCTTCTTAAATAAATCCACTCATAATTAAACATGCGCGTTGTCATTTAGGCAAGATGTGCACAAAAATTCATGTCTAAATCAACAAATTTGTCCTTTTAAAGAAACCTCACGAGTGTGAGGATTACCAGGGATTACCAGTGATTACCAAGTCTGTTTACACCTGATTACCACAGTTGGGCACCCCTCGCCTTAATCCCTATGTCTGGGGTCGGATCGTAACTGAACCACCCAACAATATTTTTTTCCGTGAATTTTTCAAGAGTTTTCCCGCTTAAGTTTTCCAAGTTAGTTTAAGTCGCACAAATACTATCATAGCAGCCATGACGTCGGCGCACGCCCCCGCAGCGCAAACGCCTACGCAATATCGCTAATCGGATCCCGCCACGGAGGAAATGTCACAGTGGTGGCCGGGCTCGAGCCTCAAGGGCCGCGGCGTTGACGATAGTCAAGGAGCTGCGGTTTGAGCCGGAGCAGCCCCCGCCGCGCCGACCCTCTGTGCACCGGGAGTGCGTTGGCGGGGCGCTGCGCGGCACGGCGGCACACCCCCTCGGCGAGCCTGAGGGGTTCCACCCGCCCCGGGTTGGGCGGGGCAGAAGCAACAAGCATCGCGGCGGGGGCGGGGGAGACGCCCGCCCTCGCCGCATGGCTCGCCGTCCTTGTTGCGCCCACGGCGACGCCGCGCTCGCCGGCTCGCCTCTCTCGCTCGCTCCTCCGTGGTGGGGGGGAGCCGGGCCGGGCGGCGGGACGCCGCGCGCAGCCCGCCTCAGTCAGTCGAGTTGTGACCGCCCTGCCGCGCCGCACCGCGCCGCCCAGCCGGCTCACACCCGCCCGCCGACGAGACGAGACGAGGCGAGACGAGTCGCGAGCGTGACAGTGACCCGTGACGTGCGTGCGTCGTCACAGACCGTCACAGACACACATGGCGGTCGCGGCGCAGTGACCGGACCGATACCCGGAACGGTTTCGGGGCGGGCCTCGTCAAACACGACACGACTCGCCGCGCCGGCGGGGACACACACAACTTAGCACAGGAACTTGAACGACCTCCGTTTCCCTGTTTGCCGAGAGAGTCGAGCCAGGGCTTCGACGTGACGGTGACGTGTGGACACGCGCTGACGGTGGTCGGTGGTGGTGGTGGTTTGCGTCGTCGTCTTCTTCCGCAACGACAACCCTCGCAACCCTCCTGGCGTCTGCGGGCGCGCGCGGGTGTGAGTGAGTGTGTGTGCGCCGAGTGTCACGTTCCACAACAACAACGACAACAAACTCGTCACAAGGAAGTCGGGCCGATTTTAACCTCGTTATCGGAGCCGAGCGGCGGGTCCGCGTGACCCGTGCGACCTCCTCCCCCGGAGATATCAGCCCCGTCTCCGCCAAGAGGCTCACCACCAGCTCCAGGCGCACGCGTCCTCGTGTTTTTGTGATTGTTCGCTCGGACAGCACGCGGTGGTCGCCGCCGCCGCGAGCCCTGCCCACTCCAGCCCGCACCCGTCGGCCGTACCAGCGCACCGCCAGCGAGGAGGAGTCCGTGACCGAGAAGGTAAGGAGAGGCGGTAAAGCGCTCTGCAAGGCCCGGCTCCGATCACAACTCAATCGTTGCCGTAGTCTCTAATAACAACAATGATGACGATAAAACTGGCGGGGGACCGGGAGGAGAAGGAGGAGAGTGGAAAGATATTGTCCCGAGCCGATATTTCCGGTTTGTGTGATGGGGCCAGATTGCAAGGTGCAGCCGTCTGCTTATCTGCTAATGAAGGCACGAAAATGAAATGGGTCCCGACATCTTATTAGGCACCAATTTGTTGTGATGGTTTTACGTGGTGCAACGGGTTTGGCCTGGCCGCGCGCCTGCAGGCCTGCAATAAGACGTCACATCGACATCGGTGGCGCGGCGTGGCGGCCGCCTAACCCCTGCGGCTGGGAAACCTCGGAGCAAACGACGAAACGGGCCACCTCGATGCAAGCTTACCGCGGTCCTGGCGGACACCGGGGGCTCCAAAAACGCGGGGCTTTTTAACGCGTTGAAAGAGTCTCATGTGACCTTGCCTTGCTGGAAAACACCTCCCCGCCCAGTCTCTCTGGGACCGAACGTGTTTTAAATGGGCGGAGGTGCATCAGCGGTGAATACCGATGTGCGTGCTTGGCTGCGACACTTGCACCCGCTTAAATGTTGGGCATGCAGTTCGGGTGCTGCGCTTTATTTGTCGGAAG